TGTCAATCCAAGTTGGCAATGGAGCAGCCGGCGAGGCTGACCTTGAAGCGGGAGCCTGTGAAACTTTCACCCTCCCCATGTTGTTGTCCCATACCGGCTACAAGTCTGAGCCTGAGCCAGCAAAAGAGCGGAGTCTCTCCTGCCCAGACAGCTGCCAGAGGGAGGATGTCAGGGCACCACCTTGGTTCACGGAAGAGCCGTGAGCCCGTCATGGTGGCGGCGCTCGAAACCTGGATGCCGCCCACATGGTATGTTTCATCATGAGCTGCTGCTGAGAGTTGACTGTTACTGCTTTAAGCAGGCCTTGTTTCACCTCGACTCTACAGAATTGCCCAAAGTGTCGAAGAAGGGCTGCGTGGGCGCGAATTGGGCACATCATATAATAGTACCTCTATGTAGTCCTGGAAGGCTTCGCGAATCAGGCTACGAAAGGCTGGCTATGAAACCACAACAAGAAACAGGCACGCGTAATGGTCTACGCGTCCAGGTGCAGTTTGCAACTGAGCCGCTGGACTCCACCGGTCAAAGCAGCGTGTGCGTCATTGCAACCTTGACGCTGACCTGACGCCCCCCCGTTGGTGGGTCAGGGAGACCTTTTTAAAATGTAGTTCAAACCCCTTAACCCGAACTTTCCCCGATGAATAAGATATTGCTAAGATACTAAGTCCCGCAGACACTTCAATACGTGCTTCCTGTTGGTTGTCTTGCTCACGCCAATAAATCACATGTTTGTCACGTGTCTCATTGTTGTTCTTCGAAGATTGTTTCCCAGTGACCCCCTCCGGTTGCATGAAACCCTCCCCGTAAAGATTGGTTGTGCTAAAATTGTTCGCTGTTGGACTTTCCATCTTCATGTAGGATTGTAGGCGCCACACGTCAGGCTGTGCATGAAGACCCATTTTTGAGCAACCACCCTGCTCTGAAACCAAACATGTGACATTCTGCCAGAAGCCTGAAGTCCGCGTCACCGTCATCGTGGTGGAGGCTGCTTGCAATCTGAATTCAGTAGCACTTGCAAAAACGGATGCTGCAATTTCCAATACAGAGAAAAAGCTATTTTGCTTAGAGGTCCCTAAAGGTTTCTTTGATTGAAGACTTGCTTCCCATGGTGGCCGCTTTGAGAACATGTGGCCAGGCAACGGGCAATTTTGTTCCAATTCCCGGAAGCTCTATCCCCACTCTTGTCCAGGCCAACATCACTAGCAACGTCACAGACCTGCTGGACGTGGCTTGGCTTAGAATCAGGTAACTACGCTCTCGCATATGTTGGGTGCGACATGGATTGGCTGCTGTCTCCTAAACTTCGTGGCCAGACAATTTACTATTAGTATTAGTACCATTATTACTACAGCTTACTATTATCATTAGTAGTATTATTATTACCTACGATTATTACTATTATTACTATTACCACCTACTGCACTGCCTTCAGGAGCTTTATGCTTCCAAGCTTAAATCCTAAAGCCAGAAAACAAAGGACGCCTTGGATGAAACCGATGCAACAGGGCTTCTCGTGGCTGTGCTGGGAGGCGCGCCTTCAGTTTTAAAAGCTCCTGCGTTGGAATACCCTAAACCTTTCGCCCCAAACCCTAAAGCCTTAACCCTAAACTCTAAAACCTTAAACCTAAACCAGAAAAAATAAACTGTAAACCCTAAAGTGCAAAGCGCCTTCGTAGCAAGCAGTGCTGACAACACGAGCAGGGAAGCTTGGCAGGTTTGGGCCTTCATGCCTCAAGCAGCGCGTTTCAAGCAACAATCCTTCAGCCGCGAAAAGGGGGGGTTGCCGAAGATTAGGGGAAGCCCCTTAAAGAAGGGGGTTGTATCAGGTTTAGAATTTCCCAAAATCAGGGGTACCATTTTGGGAGGTCCATATAAGAAAGATTTCATATTTGGGGGTCTAATGTTGAGATACTTATCAGGGCCGGTCACCATGATGATCCCTCTTGGGGTGGGTAGCCTAAATATTCGCTGCTGTACTGCAACATGGACCCCCCCAAAACGGCCATAGTTTTGACAAGCTGCCTTAGTAAGATCCCAATGTATCCGTGTAGAACCCGATAAAGCCTTTCCATGTCCCAATATCAACCAATGATGAGATACTGGAAGGTATCCTTGCCGCGGGAGTGTGCGCTTTCATAGCCTGAACCCTGGCTTTCGGGTTTAGGGTTGAGGTCATGACAGTCCAGCTGCTCTATTATCTAAGGGCCAGGGGCTTTCCAGACTTTACGGGTTTTAGAGCGTAGGCACCTGAAAGTAGGAAGTGAGGGTACTGGACTATAAGAGCTACAGAGAGACGCTAGTTTTTGGAACATACCCACGTAGGTGTCACATTATGGCAGCGGCGCATTTTGTTTCGTGAGCTTGTTCGGGTTCTGCTCGGACGACTTTAGCTAGGTTGGCACACGCCTGTACGGCGCAGGAAAGATAAGGTGCCAAGATGCATAAGCATGCATGATAAGGGCCTTGAACGGGAAGAATCATCATTCCTGCTTTCATGATACCACACAGATCTCCGCTTGAGGCCTCAAGTCCCCTCTTTAGAGTGCGTAACGCTTCTCCCAGAGTCAGGTTATGAGAGAATTTCCAAACTTTGGGGCCCCAATGAAACTTCCCTGGCCTCACCCACACGGGGGTTTAGGGTTTAGGCTGATAAGCTCAGACAGTACCAACATGGACCCAAAAATGGGACCATGCGGAAATCCTTCCAGGACTCCACGGTTACAACTTCCACCAACAGTCCGTGAGAACATTGAAACACTTTCTTAGAATTATATTGGCATACGCGACTCTCCAATTGTCTTTTTCTTCAATTTAACTTTACATTTTCTTCCCCATGATGATAGTTATATAGCATCCCGCTCTTTTTCAAGTCTATAAGTCATGTGTAATCCATTTGTAAGCCTAAACCCCTAAACCCTAAATCCCTATACCCCTAAACCCTAAACCCTAAATCCCTAAACCCCTAAACAAATCCCTAAACCCCTAAACCCTTAAACCCTAAACCCCTCAACCCTTAAACCCTAAGTCCCCAAACCCTTAAACCCTAAACCCTAAATCCTATATATCTACTTAAGGGGGACCATAAACCCAATATAACCCCAATATACTATAGTAGTTTCCATTTTCTTTTCCATTATCCCTATATAATCCCTATATAACCCCTTCTAAACCCTAAATCCTAAACCCTAAACCCTAAACCCTAAATCCTAAATCCTAAACCCTAAACCCTAAATCCTAAACCATAAACACTAAA